TTTAAACTCATTTTTTCAGCACATTTTGAAAAGTACTGCTCATTCAAAAGAAAAAGCTCTCAAGATAAAACAGACAGCAGAAATTTCACTGAATGCATTAGACAAAATTAGACATTCTAAAAATAAAAGTTTTAGTTTATTGAATTCATTACAACAATTTGTGTTTCTATAGCATCCTGACCATAATAAAAGTGTCTCAACCTATTTCATAAGGATACAATAAAATAAAATCTGACAATTTTAGGAAATCTGGGTCAGATGATAAAAGCATGGACAAAGAGGTGTGTTCAAGAAGTATCTTAATTGGAATAAAGCAAGATAAAGTAGTGGAGATTGAATTACAAATCTTACTACCTAAATAGGCAAATAGTGGAGGAATTAAAATCAAGAGGTCAAAATTAGAGCGCAAGACTGGAGGTTAATGGGCATAGCAAAGTGATGAAGAGATCTGAAAGCTAGAATGTGAATTTTAAAATTGAAATTTGCTTAACCAGGAGCCAAACGTCAATGAGCATGAAGTTTACCAATGTCCTTTTGAAAGTAAAAACTACATCTACCTGGTCTGGCCAACATGGGACTCCAAATCCACAGGAATATAGTTGACTGTTAAACAGTCCTCTTAAATCGCCTAGTAAGCCAGTCAGGAGTGGGTAGCAAATGCTAGCTTGGTCATCAATGCCCATATTCCATGAATGATTAAAACAACTAGAGAGCGTTCTCAATGGACTTCAAATTTATTGAAGTTAAACTGTAGCAGCCCAACCAGTAATCCACTGGGATAGTCAAATCTAGAGATTAAAAAAGGCATGAATGAGGGCTTCAACATCAGACAAATGGAGGTGTGGAAAAGCAACACAATGTTACAGAGGTGGAAATAGACAATTTTGGTCATAGGCAGCTAGAAGCTCATCGAGGGATCAAGTATGACACACAGTCAACAGTCTGGTTCAGCCTCACACAGATGCCAGAGACAGTGATGTAGTTAGTGGTTAGGGGATGTTTTAGCAGAGACCAAAGACAATAGCTTCAACCTTCTCAATTATTTAATTGGAGAAAGTATCTGGTTGTTGAGTATTGAACGTCAATCAGGCAAGATTTCTCTCAATTTAGAGATAGTGGATAGATGCAGAACAAACTAACTATCATTGCATTTTCTGGATGATATTGACAAGATATACTTACTAATGAGAAATAGGATGAAGCCTAGGGCAGATCCTTGGGGTTGTGTTGTAGTAACAAGTGAACATATTGCAAAGTGTTTCTCTTGTTACGGTTAGATACACAAGAACTGAAATAGATGTAAGAAAGTCCATCCAGTTGGAGGAACACTGAGGAGGTAAGGCAGGAGAATGGTACAATGAACCACAGCAAAGGCTGCACGTGTATCAAGGAGGATCAGAAAAGGCAGTTTATCTTGGTTGCAGCAAAACTAGATATTAATTGTCTCTTAATTAGAGCTGTTTCAATCCTGTGAGGCAGGATTGTGAAGTGGAGGCAATAGATTTGGGAACCTTATGTTCAAGGTGTGTGAAAGAAGAAAAACGGATTACAGAGTTGGGGTAGGACTTTGCAAGGATAGAGCAGTCAATGTCTTTTGAGGACTGAAGTAATGATGGCATATTTGAAGGAATAGACGGAACTTAACAATAGCAACTAACATGGGAACTAGGAAGGGGAAAATTGGGTGATCATTTGTTTATTGACAATCAAGTGGAGAGACTAAGACAGGCAAGAGATAAACCAGGGAACGGTACAAGTTAGTTAAAGCAGGAGGAGGCCTTAGAGGAAATCTGGCTGGGTGAACCGAGTGATAGAAGTGGCATAGACAGCCAATCAGATGGTCTCAAAAACTTATCAAAGAAGTTTGACTTCTCACACTTGCTCTTTGAAGCAAGGGGAGAGGGGTCAAGGGAGAAAAGTTGAGGATGACTGTTTGCAACAGAGAAAAAAAGCCAAAAGTTATCTTTACTTCCCAAAATGATCCTGAAATCAGGATTCCACAGATCAGAGCCAAACTGGAAATCACTTTGTAGTCCAACATGATCTGGTAGCAAATGGCTAAACTACTTGTCGACCGTACTTATCTAAGTCTGTGTTCACTACAGAGATTCTTATAACTAAGACAAAGCCATTTTTAAGAATCATAAAATCATAGACATGTACAGCATGGAAACAGACCCTTCAGTCCAACTTGTCCTTGCCAACTAGATATTCTAGTCTCATTTGCCAGCGTTCAGCCCATATCCCTCTAAACCCTTCCTATCCGTATACCCATTCAGATGCCTTTTAAATGTTGTAATTGTACCAGCCTCCACCACCACCTTTGGCAGCTCATTTCATACACACACCATCCTCTGTGTGAAAACATTGCCCCTCAGGTCCCTTTTAAATCTTTCCCTTCACACCTTAAAACTATTCTGTCTAGTTTTGGACTCCACTACACTGGGGAAAAGACCTTGAATATTCACCTTATCCATGCCCCTCATTATTTTATAAACCTCTAAGGTCACACCTCAGCCTCCGACACTCCAGGGAAAATAGCCCCTGCCTGTTCAGCCTCTTCCTACAGCTCAAACCCTCCAACCCTGGGAACATCCTTGGAAATCTTTTCTGAACACTTCTAAAATTTCACATCTTTCCTATAGCAGGGAGACCAGAATTGTATGGCTGCAACATGATATCCCAACTCACTGACCAACAAAGGCAAGTGTACCAAACACCTTCTTTACTACCCTGTCTACCTGCAACTCCACTTTCAAGGAACTATGTACCTGCACTCCAAGGCGTCTTTGTTCAGCAACACTCTCAAGGACCTCACCATTAAGTGCATAAGTCCTGCCCTGATTTGCCCTACCAAAACGCAGCACCTCATATTCACCTCAATTAAACTCCATCTGCTACTCCTTGGCACATTTGCCCATCTGATCAAGGTCCCATGTACACGGAGGTAACCTTCTTCACTGTCCATTGTATCACCAATTTTGGTGCCATCTGCAAACTTACTGACCATACCTTCTGCATTTGCGTTCAGATCATTTATATAAATGACAAAAGACAGTGGACCAGCACTGGTCCTTGCCTCATATTTGTCCATTACAGACATTTTCCATTTCACATTCATTCTACTTGACTACTGATCTATATTGTGTTTCATATGACCAGATAAAAATAAAAGCATTCCCGCTTTTGTCTCAAATCATTGGTCTTTGCTGGAACATCCACCATTTCAAAGATACATTGGTAACATAAACCACACAATGTTAAATCCAGTAAGCAGATTAGTACAAGTAAAATACGCTTTCTCCTAGGAAAGTGCTTTGCTGAGGATGGTGTTCAAAAAACCCACCAGATTTTAA